TGTTTGAAGTAAAAGAAAGACATTTTACATAGTATTCGATATTTAGGCTCCTGTTAACCAACTCAATATTCCCATATTATATGTATGTTCATCCCACTCCCTCGCTCTTGTGGGACACGTTATCGCTTTGTGCGTCATCGTATGCCTGCATGTCTGCTCGCCAGGATTGGGAGGTGCGGCCGTACAACTCTGTGTGCAGCGACCGTACAAACAGTGACCAATCATCAACCTCTGTTTAACCTAATCCCCAATCCTGATCATGAGTAGCTCCCTGCGTGTACACACCTGATCCGCAACATACCCACTGAATAAACGTGCTCCTTGCTACACGTCTGTTTGCTTTACAGCTGGGCTATAGCTTAGCTAGTTCTGGGAGTCTAGCTAGATGTTGGAGGATCTGCCATAGAGATTTCTGAGTCAGTCAGGCTTTACTAGTGTAGCAATCCACTACACTCTCTTATTAAACCCGAAGCCAACGAAGGGGCTATGATAAATATCATAAAGCCTGTCATTTGATAAAATACTATAAATCAAGTTGTAGATAATGATATAAATGCTCTGGCACTAATTAAACAAATACTGAACGTGTTTTGGATCAGTGGAAATGTTTAAAACTAAACTGATACGACTGAAACAGGCAGCTTATTTTAGTAATTTTTAGTGATACGTGTTACTGCGAGCAATTTCTATAAAACATCGAGAATTTTATTTGAGATCAATAAGCCAATAAGACATTTCTGATTGACATATGTATTTGTTGCGGATGAAGAAACAACGAATCGAAATTTCATTTTTCATTAAAGTACAAAAGATGAGATAATGACCACATAGAGTATCCGGTTACGGAACACTAACAGGGTGTGCTAAATAGGTCGATTTCCATTGACGCATTTCCAACAATTCGTTTTCACTTACACTGTTATCAGATTCTCCACCGTCCTCTTGAGCCAGCAGACGCTGATGGTCGGGCATGTTGTTGTTAGTGGCGTTAGTTGGAGGATTTCTCAAGGGAAATCCCATAGTGATTGTAGTGAAGCAGATGAAACCGAGGAAGATAATTATATGCCAAATGAAGATTTTAGTCACTCGGGGAATACTTTCGATTGCTAGTTCATCGAATTGAGGAAGTGCCGTCGAAGGGGGGTAGAGGATAGCTCCAACCTTATGAGGGGAAGCAAGAAATTAAATAAAATTTCGAGAAAAAAAGGGGAATTAGTTTACGAATAAATGGCAGTTATTACCTGCCAGAACCATGACCCTTGAACAATGATAAGCAAGTTTCTCACAAGTCCGGGCAAGATAGAGTGCGGAAAGATGGCTTCGCAAACACCAACGACGAGCAAAATTATTAAAGCGTAAATGAGAATAGTGTGGACATAAATATCAGTTGGAGTTCTGCCGTGCAAATGAAATGCGAAGAGAACCAATTCTGTGACAACAGCCAGAAAACTGAATAAGTAATTTGTGCAGCTAAAATAGAAATATAATTATGTTGATTCAATAATATCAATGACATAACTATTTGCAAAAACTCACTTTGGAAATCTGAAAATTTTGTAGAAATCCAGCACTTCGAAAATACCACATAACATGAACATGGCAAACATGGTTGCATGTTGGAGATTTCCAATAAACTTGAAAACTCCATCGTCAAATCCAGTATAAATTTCACCAGTAATACCAATGGCACAACAAATTGCTTTCAAATATGAATCTAGAGGAACTTCCTTCCATCCACAGCATCCAACTTGACAACACCGAATCGGCGTGGTCATCTGATTTTTATAAACTGGTTCTCTTCGGTTTGAAAACCCTAACTCATATTTTTTGTGTCTGTAGTATTTTCTGAGCTGGAAGAAAATTCCCCAAATGCCGAAAAGAAGGAAGAAACTTCCAGGTAACGCATGACCTGCAAATGTCCCCATAGTCCTGAAATTGAAATGGTGATTATTTATAAGGTCGATCTCTTAAATAATGTAGCATAGTAAATCAAAGTATTATTCTTGACAAAGTTTTTACATAATTGCAACTTAGATTAATAGTCTAGAGTTTATTTTAAACTTATTGAGGTAGCCCTATTTTTACCTAAAAGACTATTAAAATATTAGCTCTTCATCGTAGACCAAACATTTATTTATTTAGAAGAGCAATTTTCATCGTGATAACTACTGATTATGTTCTTTTAAAAATTATTCTATTCCTCTTTAGCAAATCTTGATATATATATCAAGATCTTCATCTACTTGTCGCAAATTAGGTACTTTTAAACTCGTTTTATATGAAATTTTACTTGGGATGCACATAAGAGGAAAGACCTACCTTCATTGTATTGTTTCATTTAAATAAGTAATTGAAACCATAGCCAATAATCTGCAAAAATAATGATAGCAAATTCTAGTGATTAATTGGGTTTAAGTGTTGCAGGCTATGATGGAAACACTTAAAATATTAATATATTTCAGTTGATCCCATTACTATCTATATTATTGTATCTAATTACCATGCAAGAAGCAACCAAAGCTAAATGAACTCATTTTTGCATCTTGCTTGACTGCATCTAATAACAGCATTTAACTCATTAGCCATAATGGAGGCTTTGAAATATCGAAGAATCTCATTAAATCTCATTTGGGCTATTATATTAGTTATAAATATATATCGTAAGATTAAGGCCCCCTACTCGGAGATACTTACACAATTACTAATCTGCCCTTAAGTTTTCCAACATGTTTCACAAATCTATAACGATATTTCAAAATATTGACACTCTTGAAATGATTTTGGCAAATAGGGACTGCAAGCTTACACTCTATTTTTATAAGATCAAGCCGAATTTAAAGGGATACTAGTTATTTAAAGGTAAACAGTGTGACAAACACTGGCTAACTGAGTAAAGGTCTTAAGTAAATAAAAACCGAAAGTGATATAGGTACGTAATTAAGCTAAAAAATTGAAGTCTTTTCACTATGGTTAATTAAAAACGTGATTCGCTTAATCTGATGGAAACGAGATTTGGTGTTAACTTTGCGCTAACTAGGCATTTTCCATGAAACTCAAGTTCCGGCTCGCAGTATCTCAAGAATATTGATGGAATCATTTATGTGCCAAATGGGAAATTTTGTATTCTGGCTGTTTGCTTGTTATTTATTTAACCAACCGTTATTTCTTCTCTTGACCTATTTCTCATCCGCATTGATGTTATCCGTTGACACTTTCACTACTTTTAAATTTAGTAACGCAGAGAAAATGAGCACAAAAGGTCATACAGCACAGTTGAATAGGTGTCTGTAGGTGAAAATGCCATCAAGCAATTCCAGATTGCACTGCAACACCATTACAGGATTCGAGGTTTTGGTCACGTGGAAATGGTAGTTTACGAAGTAGAAACCGTCTTGATATCCTTGGGAAATCGATTGAGCATATTCAGGCTTCGGGTGAAATGATCTCACTTTGCAATAATGATTGGCCCAAAATCTTCGTATTTGGTAGGTTGAAGTGAGCTCTTTGCGTGAAACTGAGGTATGTTCCAAAATAGTCGGTTTCAACGGTGTTCCTACCCCCAATAAGCATAAATCCAATAGCTTCTCTCAGAGTATTAAATTATTCCAAGCCTATTTATTTATTTCAAATAGCAGGCTCTGTGATAATTATCATTAGCCCTTTAGCTGACTTCGGGCTTCACTGAGAGGAGGAGAAACAGTAAAGTAAGAGAAAGTCGAGGGGTGGGGAACAGAAGAGTGATTCACAGACGTTAAAGAGACATACAGACACAAAGGCAGAGAAAAGGTGAGGTGAGTGTTGTGGAAGTAGTCGAATATGACACACAGTGGGGTCATGGTAGTTAGAAGCCAGAAGTCAACTGCCAGTTAATAGACTTTTTTGCCGTATGAGTATACGTTGCCCAGGGTGCACCACGTGAAGGTATGTCATTTGAGTATACGTTGTCCAGGGTGCACCACCTGGAGGTAAGTCTATCGTGAGTATACGTTGCCCAGGGTGCACCACGTGGAGGTGTATGAGTATACATTGCCCAGGGTGCACCACGTGGAGGTAGCCGAATGAGAATACGTTGCCCAGGGTGCACCACGTGGAGGTAAGGTGTGAGTGTACGTTGCCCAGGGTGCACCACGGACTCTTTTGCCGTGTATACGTTGCCCAGGGTGCACCAGTTTGTTTGCCGTATGAGTATACGTTGCCCAGGGTGCACCACGTGATAGACTTACTTGCCGTATGAGTACACGTTGCCCAGGGTGCACCACGTGGTGCCTTATGAGTATACGTTGCCCAGGGTGCACCACGTGGAGCCGTATGAGTAAACGTTGCCCAGGGTGCACCACGTGGAGCCGTATGAGTATACGTTGCCCAGGGTGCACCACGTGCCGTTTGAGTATACGTTGTCCAGGGTGCACCACCTGGAGGTAAGTCTATCGTGAGTATACGTTGCCCAGGGTGCACCACGTGGAGGTGTATGAGTATACATTGCCCAGGGTGCACCACGTGGAGGTAGCCGAATGAGAATACGTTGCCCAGGGTGCACCACGTGGAGGTAAGGTGTGAGTGTACGTTGCCCAGGGTGCACCACGGACTCTTTTGCCGTGTATACGTTGCCCAGGGTGCACCAGTTTGTTTGCCGTATGAGTATACGTTGCCCAGGGTGCACCACGTGAAGGTTAGCCTGTCGCACACTCCTTATTCTAAGTCTTACTTCCTCGTTAATGGAAACTGAGTTTTTGCAAATAGGTAAGGTTCGTAATGCCATTGGTGGTGCAGCGATCGACGTGATCTCTTGAGAAGTCATGGGTCATGGGTTCGATCCCCTTCGGAGCACCCACAGTGAGATTAATGGCAAATGGGGCATTGGCTAAGTTATCGGAGTTCGTGTTTATGAACTTATTTTTATTCTTTTGCAAAAAATTGAGACACAGAATTTATTGCTGTCTTTGGTCAAGTAAATTTGCAAATGAGAAAAAGAGCAAAACAGTAGTTCTTTAATGGAACCCTGGACACTATGGAATTGTATGCGATGAGCTTGCTGACGCACTTGCTAGGAAGGGGACAACAGTTTCGCAAGGCAGAGACCGGCCGATGTCTTTCCACATAATGTAGGCCTGAATCAGGAGAGAATTCCAAACCTCAAGGTGCAACGAACTTAAAGGAGAAACAGTGGACAGTGGCACTCTCCAACAAATCCGTCTGGCTAAGAATCGAAGCTGTTGCAGGGTGCAGGCAACGTTCCGGGCTTGATTACCTGGCGAAGCACCCTCACAGAATAGGAGTATACGCTCAGTCAACATGCCCCTTATGTGACCTATGGGAGGAAATGGAGAAGACGCACCTGATTCGATGTACAGCCCTACAGACAACCACCGAAATCTAGAGATATTGGAAAGCCAGATGTCAACTAAAGAACTACTGTTAACCACCCTAATGCCTACATATATGTTCCTCCCCCCCTCCCCTTATGAAAGCCGAAGTCAACTAAGGGGCTAATGACAATCATCATGAAACCTGTCATTTAAAATAATAAAGATTGCAAAATGACAGGAATTCCAGTCAAATGCAAAGGTGAATGTCTTTTGGCTACTTCTCCCTCATTAACGCATTTCGCGAGAGCGCAGCAAAGTTAGAAAAGCAGAGGTGATCTTGTTGAGGACCGAGTTCGAGTTTGCTCTGGAAGGAGTTGAAATCGCACTTTTTTCTATCGAAGCTGCTTAATTTCAGTTCAGCTCTGATGAATGTTTGAATTTATTTGCAAATTGCTACCTTTTTCTCATTATTAGCAAAACACAAGATGGTAAATTCTTGGAAATTTCATCCATTCATAGATCATGCTCATAACCTGAAAAGGACACAATGGTATTAGCCTGATAGAAGGTACTTGCAGCGGATACTACACGACCTTACTTGGTCTCTACACAATTGTAAGCCCATCAACGTCCTTCTAGAATATTTTAGATCTCTTTCTCTCTCTAGACTTCTTTGAGAAGCCTTGATTGCTCTCAACAATCCCCACAGTTACGTCACCTTGTGATTTTCAACTTCTGTTGGCTTAAATAGACTAATAGACCTGTTGGATTAATGTCCTGCATTACAGCCACTTTTGCAATCTGACACGACTGGGCTACAGATATCCCTCTAAAAGGGAGACGACGATCATAAGAACTAACAGGAAAGAGCAGCCTATTGGAGAGGGGGGAGAGAACTGAACTGATCCAAGGAAAGTCTTGTTGTCGCTGATCGAGCGAATTGAGCTGCCAAAATGAGGGCCGTCGTGTTGAACCTGCTCAAATAAAACTAAAGATCTCACCAGACAACCAGATTGGCTGTTTTTTCAACCAATCAACTATTTTTTTGCTTCGAAGATTGGGGGCAATGCAGAATTATAATTCAACCTCTGCAAATGTTGTGTATACAGGCATTGACAGATATTTAACACAAAATTACAGCAAGTCCATCCTGGGTACTAAGACCCACATTGTCGTGGTGCACGACAGACTCTCTTTGAAACAATGTGGCACCTGTGTGGTCGATTTCTACTTGTCATAAAAAAATAGAACTCAGGTAATGGAACACAATGTTATCGTGTCTCAAATAATAAAATGAAAGGAATTTTGTATTTTTATTACTATTTACAATTCCAAAACCATTACTGCATCAAGTAAAGTAATCAGACTGATTTTCTCCATCTCTTCAAGCCATCCAGTGTGTCTTTAGATGACGCCGAAAACTTTGTGCAAACCCGAAACCCCTTCCACAAACTGGACACATAATTACTGTTGGTTCTCCCTCGAAGCTCTTTTGGTGAGGTGATATCGATCCTGAATCAACTCGATGCTGATTGGCCAATCTTTGGGGGTTTGGTTCTATTAGAGGCGAACCAGCCGATTTGAGCAGCCGATTGCTGATATCTTCTGCTGCTCTATCATTGCCTCGCATTGAAGCGATTTCCTCCTCCCGAAGATATTCCGTTTCCCCAATTTCCGATTCCATATTGCGGGCTGTGGAACACATTTCTACTGGACTCAAACGTTTGTGGTAGCGTTTAAGACTAACATGGTGAACCCTTTCCATATGCCTTTCTCTATTCGATTTGGTTGAGAAGGATTTCGTGCATCTAGTACAAGCGAATGGTTTGTGGGCTGAAAATTTAATTAAGGAGAAATATTATTACTTGCTAATTAATATTCCCATTGGGGAAAAAAGAACTACCAGAACCTACGAGTATGGGTCAGAATATGGCGTTTGAGAGAACTGTTCCAGGGAAACTTTTGATTGCACCCCTCTACCGGACAAGTGATCAACTTTGGGGCATCTTTATAGGAATTCTTTTTCCGATAAGTTGACGCAATTGATGGTTCAGGATTAGTAGAATTAGGAGGAAGAGGAGGAGGAGGAGGAGGAGGAGGAGGGGGAGGAGGAATAAGGGGAGTGAGTTCTGGCAATGGAGATAAGGTCGGCAAAGTTGTGACATGTGTCAGAGAAGTTGGCGGCAGGGTTGAAGAAGACGCCAAAGAAACCATTGGAAAAGCCGGAAAAGTTGGTGTCATCATTAAAGTAAAGATGGAAGAAAAATCGGAAAATGACGTTGTAATGGGCTGTGAAGTTTGCTGGAAGAATTTCGGAAGTGGAGATGGTGAAGCACGTTGCTTCAATGAAAGATCCAAAGCTTCGACCGGTTCTTCAGAGTTGACTACAACTTCTGGACGCTCAAGTCGCCTAAAAGGCATAGAATGCTCCAATTAAACCAAAACATTCCCAAGAACCTGCATTTGTTAACGGAATTAGTTACTTAGCACATTTTCGAATTCGTTTGCGCTGTTTCAAAAGCGATTCTCGTATTCTTGGTGAAGGGCGCCATACTCTGTTTCCCAAGTCTAAAGTTAAGAATTTCCGGTTTATGATTGGAAGATTATTTTCAAAAATCACTTTTAAGCGGTTCTTACCTTTTAAGGCCACGTGTTTCCTTTTAATCGCATGAAGCATAATTCTAAATGTTGGAATAGTATTTCGTTTCTATAATAATGAACACAAATTTGAGTTGCACGTTTGAGTTTTAACTGACTTTAAAAATTATCTTACCTTTTTAAGAATATTTTTAATTGCATGTGGGTGATCAATTGCGCTGGTCGCTTGAATACGTCTCCCAATTTCAGAATTTATTGAAATCGCTTCATTGGAGGATGATGATGCTTGCAGCTGATGTGATGTTCGTCTGTGTCTACTTAAATTACCATTAGTAGTAAAGGCTTTATCACATAAACTGCAAGCAAACGGTCTGTGATCTGGATGGGAAATGCAGTGCTTACTAACTTGTAACAAGTAGGCATAATATTTGAAAAGGGGAGGTTTCTCACTTGTATGTGTCAGAAGATGACGCTCAAGTGAACTATTTGAGCTCAATTCACTAGCACAGAAGCAGCAGACGTGTTTTCCATCCTCTCTTCTCTGATTGTTCTGGTGCTGTTGAAGGTGCATAGTCAGTTCCGCTCTCGTCGCTATGTCAACAGTGGAACACAATGGACAATTAAAGAATTCGACGCCGTTTTTGCAGGCATATGGCTGGAGCTATGGAGGAAATTTGCGATTATGCTAGTAATTCTGTAAAAGTATAAATTTACAAGGCATGCCGGCCTCATACCTTGACATCTTCACGCCCCTTCCTTTTCAAATCCCACGCCTCAGAGTCGTCGGTAGAATTCTGACGACCGTCTTCTTTAAAGAAGGGCATTGTGTGTTGGCTCATTATATTCGATATTAAATGACTCGATAATTGAGCTAAACCGGAGTTATTCGAGGGCTGTGGCGGCAGCGGTACCCGACTCGGTCTTGTCGAAGGAAAAGGAGCGGCTGTGGGCAGCAGACCATTCAGAAAAGGAGTTTGCGGTTTCTGATGCATCACAGGCTAAAGAAAAAGGCATCGCCTTGTTAGCTTTGACAAATGCAAATCGATGGTTGTCAGGTTTAAGTAAGGAAAGAACTCAGACAAACAAATAAATAAAAAAGGAAGGTAATAAATGCTGCCAATATGTTCGTTTGTAAATCAAAGAGTTTTGGGAGTGGATAAGCTTTTTGGCCATTCATCTCTAATTTTAACGGAAAGCATTTACGAAAACTAAGAATTCTGCATTTTTTCTCTTATCTTTCAGATACTCTTTTTGTCCGATTCCAAGTTTAATAAAAATAAATGTGACTGTACTTTGCAAAATATTAACCACGAAATATAAATATTTTTCGGGATAGCAATGTTGGAACAAGGGGTGCGCGATAGACTTACCTCCACGTGGTGCACCCTGGGCAACGTATACTCATACAGCAAAAAAGTCTACTAACCGGCAGTTGACTTCTGGCTTCTAAATACCATCACCCCACTGTATGTCATATTCGATTACTTCCACAGTACTCACCTTACCTTTTTTCTACCTTTGTGTCTGTCTCTTTTACATCTTTAAAACACTCTTCTCTTCCCTCCCCCCCCCCCTCTCAACTTTTTTCACTTTGATTTTCCTTCCTCTCTGTGAAGCCTGAAGTCAACTAAAGTGCTAATGATAACTATCATAACGCCTGACATTTGATATAAATAAATGTTGGAGCAATGAATGATGCCTTATATAGGTCCCAAATATATTTTAAATGTTCTTTGAAAAATTCGCATTTTAATTACTTTTTCCAAAATACAATCAACCAAATGCATAAAGCAAGTTAATCCTTTTTTTAATAATAAATCGCGGCACTTACATTAATAGGCGTTGAATGGAATATCCCGAAGGGAGAAAAGCTGTTTTCCTGAACATCGAAGAATTTAGAATCCAACAATCCGGTACCTGCTATTAAGAAGGAAGACATTATAAGCCTGAATGAGCACACAATGTGGACGATGGTGGGGGGTTAAATAAACGTTCGTTTAGCCAATTAAAAATGCCTCAAAAGCTCATTGGTTGATTTGAGCAGGTGAGCTCAAACCGCACTGCAATGCGATTGGACATTTGCCAACAACATGGGATTCGTTTGAGAATACACAAAATCACGCAATTGAACGCAGCTCTGGAAGTGGAGAACATAACGAGAATTCGTTAATACGGTTTTCATTGTTGGTACTCTGCTTATTTACCTGTTACGAATATGTCCACGAAAGAACCTATTTTCTCACATTGACTTTCGAGGGAAAAATTCCCTCGATTTAAAAATTAATAACCAGAAAAGACCAACCAGCTTAAGCAGTTTGTTCAAGGAAAATGTTCATTTCGACTTGGTTCCACAGTTTTGAGATCACATTCGAATGCGTAGAAATATAGTCTCACTCCGGGTTCAATGGTTAGAGCGGTGAAAAACTCCAAATTTGTTCGTCATGGAAGTAATTCAAGAAAGGCAAGCAGTCTGCTGGATGGCTTAATGCTGAATCCAGGAGCTAGACCGCAGATTTCACTCTTAAATCATCATTTATTTCATCATGAAAACTATCAAGTCACCTCGATATACTATTGTAAGTAGTTTTCTTGAACACTGGAAGCACTTCAAAGATAAGCCATATATCTGCAGATCCACACTTTGAATCCTCACTCTACAACTCTGTGTCCACTCGAAGCACTACACCATCTGTGTGGCGCCAGCGCTTTTTCTAGTTAGACTTCTGCTGTGAAATGAAATTCGCATCATTACATGTTTACTTAAATTGGGGTGCGCAATAGACTTACCTCCACGTGGTGCACCATGGACAACGTATACTTATACGGCAAAAGAGTCTATCAACCCGGCAGTTGACTTCTCATTTCAAACTACTATGGCCCGACTATTTGTTATATTCGACTCCTTCCACAGTACACATCTTACCTTTTCTCTGCCTTTGTGTCTGTCTGTCTCTTACACCTGTGTATCACTCTTCTGTTCCCCCTCTCGACATTTTGTCACTCTGATGTTCATCCTTCTCTCTGTGAAGCCCCGAAGTCAGCTCCAGAGCTAATGATAACTATCAAAACGCCTGCCATTTAATCATAATAAATATTTACTTAAATTAAATATATTATTTTTATGCGTACGTCTTTTATTGCATCATTCAGCTCCCCGGTTAAAGAAGGAACATGTGTTAGCAGTGAATAGGTTTTATGGACAAATCCGTTAATTTTTTTGCTCTGCTTCCACTACGCCACGTTGAGATTATTTAGGCTTTCTCGATCTTTGGTGGAAGGGAGTTCGTAATTAACTAGCCAATCCCAGTTTCAGTCGAAGATGCTCTTTACAGCATAGCATGAAATCTGTCCGCTCGTCTTCAGCATTCATTGACTTGGGGCTCTCTGTTACCCTCCAATTGCGCATTTATTGTACACTCCAAAAATGAACCATTTCACTCTCTTTATCAAAGTGTCTTGCTGGGGTGGGTAGGGAGATTATAAAATGTTGATTATAAATTATGATAATTCTTTTTTTCTTCACATAGTTCCGACCCAAACAAAATGAAATTAAATCAAACGAATTCAACTTGACGGAGTGCAGTTGGCATAAAGCACTCCATGATACATTATGGTAGGTTATTAACTAAATACCTCTACCGTGAGTATAATAATGAGAGGGGTTTAATTAGCGTTTACATGCAGTATACTGCCTCAGAATACAAGCAACATGCGACAAACTTCTCAAACTTGTGAGGGGTAGCAGAACACCTCACTCCTCTCCCCCCCCCACCCCTACTCCCACCCCAATTTTCTCCTTTCTCTTCATGAATTCCATAACATATACTACCAAACAGTCACGCAATTGTACGATTACCCACCCAACTAGTGACACCCACATCTGGACTGGAAATATTGTCCCATTCTGACACTGAAGAACAACACCTGGTTCCCTACCCTCACCTCTT